ATTTAGGAACGACGGTGAGTTCAATCACAATAGGTAATATTGTAATTATCTCTGAGATAGGAATATTGCAATCTAAAACAAGGTGGATGAAAGATCCCAGGAGAATGTAAGTGTATTTGATATGTATCATTTATGAATATCATCTGTTTTTACTTTTGGAAAATAAACATTTTATTCGTAAAGTTGAATAATTATTATTATTATATATCCCACGAATATCACAGGTACGGCGACCACATCATCGATGTCGCAGTGTGATGTATTTGTAATATGAAATGTACACTTGTATGTGACCTGGTAGTGATTTTTCATGTGATGTCGCATTTCATGTCTGAACGACGTCACAGTGATGTTGCTCGAGTCGGACATTTTCACATCGCCACGTTGTATCGGTAACATGTTTGTGACTTCAAATGCGATATCACTTGTCACAAAGTGATGTGGCGTATACATCACTTATACATCTCATGGTTGGCTGGGAATTCACCTTATATAGTTTGAGATAATCTCTGTTGCCAAAAATAAATCAGAAGGAATTTAAGTTCAAGTTTCTAATACCTACCTTGAAAGCCTTATTAGATGCTGAACTGAAGCCTGAAACTATACTCGTTGATTTTCAACAGTCGTCTATTAACGCAGTGAAAAAAGTATATTCTCCAACACGCGTATATTGTCGGTTGTTCGTTTCTTCTGGCGCAGAACTCATGGAGGAAAATACAACCTTGTCAATTAACAAACCCATACAGAGACAACGAAAACATAAGAACAAAATGTGAGATGCTTCTTGCTCTCAGTTACATCCATGAGGAAGTAGTGCAGTTTGCACTGATGGAATTCATTCGTGAAAACTTTCCTGATGAACTAAAGCCGACTATTGGGAAGATAATTACGTTGGTAAGAGGATTATTCATAATATCAAGCCTCGATTCAGTATAAATTTATGGAATCAATATTATGAGCGGGTGAAAAACGATTTACCAAAAACAAATATAATTCCCCTGAAGCATGACACAATTCCTTACAGAAAGGTATAAACTGCCAGCATCCTCCTGTATACAAATTGATCAATCAATTGAAAAAGGAACAAAAGTCTACAGAAATCTTCGTTACTAGATACCGTTCAGGGTTTCGGAAAAAAAAAAGTCCTAACAATAAATACGTCCAGCTAAAAAAACAGATTGAAAACCTTGGTTCAAACTGAGTTCAAACGTATGCTTTCAATAACTTTGAACAGAGTATTCACAGTTCGGGCTCAAATTGGCTCAAAATTTGTTAAATTGTTGATTGTTATAAACTTTGCTTCGTATTGAAATTAATTTTGAAAACTTGATTTTTCAATCACGTCCTATTTCAATAGTTGATTTTCTAACGTTATTTAACCCGACGTTATTTATAGTCACAGTGCTATTTGAACCGACACCATTGTGTCCGCAACTTGTTTTTGTTCTGCGTTATTTTTGTGCGGCGCTATTTTGTCCAGCGCTATTTTAACCTCTAGCTCTATTTCGTATCGCTTTTTTGGCTGACGCTATTTTGCTACTGAGACATGACTCGAGCTTGTTATTCCGTTCAAAAGATGAAAGGGGGGGGGGAGAGTTTTTGAGTCCTCACATAGTATTTATTTATGATGGGGCTATCGGTACGGGCCGGACCGACCCGTGCGGTCGCCTAGGCCCCGCACAACCCGCACTGCGAGCCCAGCATGCGGGGCGGGCCGATTCATATGATTGAAGCCGATAGGGTTATTTTAGGGCCGTGCGGGTTAAGCGGGCCGCACAAGTTATTCGGGCCGTGTGGGTCACGCGGGCCGTGCGGATTTCGAGGGCCGTGTGGATTTCGGGAGCGTCGTGAGTTGTGAATCATCATTTTGTGTTAAAAGAAATGTTTATTTGGATTAGGTAATAGCCCTCCAGTGGCGGACGGGGCCAAACAACGAGTAGGTAGTATAATGTACATTTGTTATTTTTTATTAGTTTTATACTATTGTTCATGAAAACTTATCCACAGAATATGTGATTGTAATACTGCATTTATCATGCAATGGGCTTTCTTTCGAAACTTTTTTTTGGTACTTACGTATTTTTGTCTGAAAAACACGAATTTGATAATGAAAATGTGAACAAACCATTATTTATCAAGATGTTTCCGAGGATATTTCACTCTAGTTACAAATTTCACCTTGCATGAATAAGTTCAGATGGATAGTGATAGTTAGTATGTTATCCCAATCCAATCCAAACAGTAATGTTTCAAAGGGTAGATCTAGAGGAGGGGGCCATTGTGGTCATGACCTCCCCTTCCCTGGGACCAGGTGAACCGGTTTTTTTTCTGTGGATTTTCTGCTCAATTCACCAAACAAATGGATAGTGTGAACATGCAATCATACTTATTCACATGTTGCGCACATGAGGCTGGGCTGGAATTAATCAAAATTGTATTGCCCATAACTATATGTTTTTTCGCATATACAGTATGTTTCCTTATAATTGGTAGAATATTCGTGAGGTTTTTCCTGGAGAATTTTCATGGAAAAAAGTTCCTATAAACATCCTAAGGGAAGCCCTTCAAATATAGTATATAGGTTTACGTTGGAGACGGTTTTTCCTCAATATTCCCGGAACCGTTCATTAAAAAAATTACGAAATAAGGTTCATCGCATGATGCTAATGCTGATTCAGAATGAGAGCTCATTATTTCAGAATCATTCAGGGACGTAACGTACTGGATGGGTTAAAGATGAAAATAATTATTTTTGAATGGTATTTTTTTAGACATTCGCATCTCAGAATATGATACCTGAAGGTTTTTTACGTGGAAAAGGTATACCTACCCCTAATACGAATCGATAGGGCAAGTTTTCTTGCATCGGTACCTCGATCACAGAGGGTTGTCCCAATATTCTACAACCCGCTCACACTGAAAATTCAAAATTTGGCACCTACACTGCATACTTTTCATGCCAAATTAAATCCTGAGCTGAGATTTTCAAAATTCTCATCACAATAAGTGTATCATAATAAAGGGGTTAGGTTAGAACTCCAGTTTTAGATGGCTTCTAAGGAGATATATGGTAGGTATCTGTGTGATAAATTGCAATTTTCTCGGAAAAAATTAGCAATTATGATAGATTCCTAGTTCTAATAAACCGAATGTTGAATTGAATGAATCGTCAATAATAAAATGGGGTTGCTTTGATACCCACAATAACTTTAGTTTGATACGTCTCTGACGGAAATTCTAAAATTTAGAGCTCAGAATCTTATCTGGCGTTGAATGTTCATCTAGTGTACCAAATTCCAATATCTTCGTTCAAGCGGTTTCGAAAATATTTTGGAAAATCGGCGTCTTTAGGGTTGCATTGATGCAGAAAATTATTTTCTCGAAAACTACTAGCCCTATTGAAATGAACTGGGCATACCTTTTCACGTGAAACACCTTCAAGTATATCAGAATATGAAAAAAAAAAAAAACTGGGATTCTTAACCACTCCATCAGAATGATGCCATCGACATTTTTTAAATTTTCATGATTTTTGGATTAACGGTTTTGAAAATTGTGAGGAAAAATCGTTTCAGGTTTTCCTATTTTGATGGTCGGAGCTCCCTTAGGAAGCATTTTTCCACAAATATTTATAGGATCTTTTTTATAAAAATACCTCAGGCAACACCTTCTTATCAAGTTTAGGAGACACTCACTAGACGTTAGGGCTGAATCCGCCCTTGAATATTTCTTAGTTCCCGTTATAGTGATATGAATAATGAGTTTTCAGGTATTTTTGTTAATTATTCGGTGAAAGCTTGTACAATGTAACACACATCAGAGAGATCAAAGATCAATATGTTGCCGGGGTAGCAACCAAGTGGGATTCCCTCCCCTCTCTCACAAGACTCCCATAGGGAATAGCTGCCGGTCACCTATCTTTTGACATACCGACAGCACCCCAGGGAGAAATGGAGAATTTGGATACGCCAAATCAGCGCGCTAGAGCCATCTCCGTTATGTAACGGCATGTTCTCCTGCTACCATTTTATTATACCAAGGGTGAGGCCGTCTGATAAAACAGACTACTGGCTATGCAGTGTCAGTGCCCGAGCAGAAACGCTGCTCACCCGCCGAGGCAGGCAAGATATCCTCCCATTTGACCCATAGTGGGATTCTTCTTCACCTCCTCTATACCGTAGTCCGGTGGTGTTTTTTGAAAACCGCCGCCCCCTGGAGTCCGACCTAATTGGTGAGGCATCAGGCCGTACGTACGACCTGATGGGGCTATCCTCATCACCCCAGGTACCCATGTCAACAGGATTCCTCTTGTTACGTTTGATAGGTCGCCGTCGCAAGAGGCTTTGGGCTGATATTGCTACTCATGTTGACAAGAATCCTCTCGTCCCGTTTACAGGAGAGGACCCGGCTTTGCCTACGATGTCTGGCCTGGCGGTAGGATTGCTTGGGGCTGCCCTCTCCCTGTCGAACTGAGGCACAAGGTACACCAGAGTTCCAGTTTTCGCTGAGCAAGCCCAAGCTACCCATGTCGACCAGAATCCTCCAGTCCCGTTTGATGGGTGTTCGTTCGCGGCCTTTCACACGTTCCGCTACCATGACAAGAGTGAGGACCTCAAGCTTTTAACCAGTGGTGTCTGGAATCACCCCGACGCCGTGAGTATACATGGTGAGCTCACGGCCGACAATGTAACACAGAGGCTGAAATGAGCACTACGCGCGTGTCACACGTGGGCCAAACGGGCCGAGCGGGCTGCACGGGATAAGTGAGCCACGCGAGATGCGCTGGCATTCGAATAGCCTATCGTTAGCTGCGACACTGACATTATCTGTGAATTTTGATTCTAAAGCAAACAATAGATTTAAAATTAACAGTATGATAATAAACTTCTTGTTGATTATGAGGACGAGGATATATCATATAATTATGTGTTGCATGCATCTTGAAAATAAATAGTAGAAATTTATACGCGTCTTTATTTTTTATTGTTATCTATGTTATTATAATATCACGTTCAACACAATGGAGATGGGGAAAATTGCAGATTCCAAAGAAGTTATTTACATACCATCAGGCAATATCAGTGATAATCAGCAAGAACTCATACGTGACGATGAGCACAAAAGGAGAGAGACATTGTTCTTACATTTATCTGCATTTACAGGTAAATTTCTTCTTGCGATTAATCATTTCATAAAACACCCCATCTAAATTATCCCTCCAATCTCGGAAACACCTATATATATATATAATATATAAAGGACTCTCTTGTTTCTCGAAAAGTCATAATGTGATGAACTGAACATAATATAGACCAGAATTACTTAATTATTCTTATAACCCAATCTAGAAGGAACCAAAATACCTACCAATCAACGACCGAACGCCTAATAAAATAAGACGACTCTCTCGAGACGGAAAACTGCTATGCAATCCAGAAAAACAATTACATGCAGGGTGTTTCACAGGTAAAGGGAAAAATTTCAATGGTAGATAGGGGTCACCAAGGTGGTTCTGGAAATACCATATTTGATAGGTCTTAGAGTTTTCATAACGGAGATACAGGGCGATTTATCGATTTCGAATAATTATTCATTCGTCTATAAGTATTGAACTACCCAGTTTATTTTCTAAAATTTGGTATGGAGCTTATAAACTTGGGATGTTGAATTCATTCACCTATCGGGCGGAGAGAAAATCCAGGTTCGGCTTCAGGAAAAATTTTAATTTATTCGAAATATTAAAATAACACACTGTATGTAATAATTGACAGAGTTCAACAAAGGAATCTTGAAGAGGAGGAAAAACTGAACTGGATTTGATGCTTTTTGTTTTCCCGCCACCAATTCTCATCGTAACAATCATAAACAGAAAGCTGAAAGTATGTCAATTTGAAGAGTATTGAAATTATGAAACCAGTGTCAATTATGATTATTCGATATATTTTAGTCAAATAATTGCTCGAAAGAACTTACTAAGTCTCACAGTTTTCATAACGGAGATACAGGGTGAATTATCGGTTTTGAATAATTATTCACTCGCGATTCACTCGTCCATAAGTATAAAACTACCCAGTAACCTTTTCTCGAATATGGTATGTAGCTTACTTGGGACGATGGATTCATTAACCTAACAGGCGAAATTATGATTATCTCTGTTATGAAGACTATGAGACTTTTCCTGGAGCTGAACCTGTATTTCCATTCTGCCTGATAGGTCAATGAATCCATCGTCCCAAGTAAGCTCAATACTAAATTTGAGAAAATATCACTGCGATGGGTAGTTCAATACTTATGGACGAGTGATAATTCACCCTGTATCTCTGTTATAAAGACTGTGAGACTAAGTAAGTTCTTTCGAACGATCATTTTACAAGAATATACCAAATAATCATAATTGAAAGTGGTTTCATAATTTTAATACTCTTGAAATTGACATACTTTTCTCCTGTTTATGATTGTTACGATGAGAATTGGTGACGGAAAAACAAAAAGCATTAAATCCAGGTCAGTTTTTCCTCTTCCTCACGATTCCTTGATGAACTTTGTCAATTATTACATACAGGGTGTTATTTTAATATTTCGAATAAATGTAAATTTTTCCTGAAGCCGAACCTGGATTTTCTCTGCGCCCGATAGGTGAATGAATTCAACGTCCCAAGTTTAAGCTCCATACCAAATTTTAGAAAAATATACTGGGTAGTTCAATACTTTCAGACGAATGAATAATTATTCGAAATCGATAAATCGCCCTGTATCTCCGTTATGAAGACCTATCAAATATGGTATTTTCAGAACCATCTAGGTGGCCCCTATCTACCATTGAAATATTTCCCTTTACCTGTGAAACACCCTGTATACTCATTACGGTGTATGGACCATGTCCGAATGCCAAAAAAAAATATACTCATTACCTTAATTTAGGTAGATTAATTCATTGTAGTTTATAATTTAACAAAAATGTTGCAGATAATCATTTTTAGATCATGCTGTATTTTTCTTCATAACATATGATTGTCGGAATATACAGGGTGGTCCGGTTTGTGATACAAAGAATTCAACGGTGCTATTGTACTCGTTGAAATAATGGAAAAAGTTCATATAAACTTATACTTTTAGACGCGTCGTTTTCGAGATATAGTGTGTTGAAAATAGGTACAGGGCGATTAACCATAAATGTCCCCCCCCCTAGCTCACTTATTTTTGAACCGATCAAAAAATTTGAAAAATAATCTGAAATGATTTTTCAACAATTTTTTTCCCGTTGCATCAGAAAATACAGGGTGCTCGGGACAAACGATCTACAGAGAGTACTACTTGATTTTTTCAAATGGAACACTCTGTATTCCATTCTATTTTTAGATTCTCCCTGAAGAGCTGACCTCATCAATATATCACACTTGGGGTCTAGCGGGATTGATAACAGATAGGTGTAGGGTGTTCACAAAATCGAGATTTTTCAACTTTTGGATTTTTTTGTGTCGAAACTATTCGTTATTGGTCAAAACGGCTTCTATATGTCCCCTTCTCAACTTTTGATTTACTATCAACTGACATTTAATTGGAACATTCACAGGGTGGTTCAAGTTTCAGAATTCTGATCACCCTGTATCTGTTCCAATTATTAAATGTCGGCAGATATAGTAAATCAAAAGTTAAAATACGAACATGAAAGCCGTTCTGACCGATAATGAATAGTTTCGTCACAAAAAAATCCTAAAGTTGAAAAATCTCGATTTTGAACACCCTATATCTCTGTAATCATTCCCGCTAGACCCCAAATGTGATGCATTGATCAAATCAGCTCTTCAGCAGAATCTAAAAATACAATGGAAAATAGGGTGTTCCATTTAAACAAATCAAATAGTACCCTGTAGATCGTTTGTTCCGAGCACCCTGTGTTTTCTGATGTAGCGAAAAAAAACTTTATCGATAGTTATTTTTGTATCTAGAGCGCGAAATGCGTTGCAAACAACATTTTTTCTACAAACGTCAAAAAATTTAGTTCTGAAGTAAAAATATGCTCAGCTTGATATCGAAAATAGTGTTGAACTGGCTTAAAAAGGCCTCCCCCTATCCTCCCTAGGTACGCACGATGTTCCATGAACATAATAGGAATTTCCTTTCGTGCGCTCCAAGAAATAAAACAAAGTTAATGTTGAACATTCAGAAATAGATGATTTCGTTGATGTTTGTTCGATTGAGGACCATGAAGTTGAAATATAAATATCTCATATATTTTACAAAACAATGCGCGAAGTAGGCACTTCGCGCACTGTTTTACTTCGCGCACTGCTTCGCACATTGTGTCGTGGTAACGTAGGAAACTGAAAAAAAGTGTCACTTCGCAATTTGTTATCAATGCGCGAACCTTGTCATTTTTTGACGTTTGTAGAAAAAAATCATTTAAGATGATATTTCAAATTTTGAAATCGGTTCAAGAATAACTGAGCTAGATGAGGGGGGACATTTATGGTGAATCACCCTGTACGATTCTGAATATTGTTTTTTTATGCAAATTTCGAAACAGTATGAGATAAATCACAGATACTAATCTTTTTATTTTTCAAATAAAAATGTTATTGTTATTTCATCTACATGAAATGTTTAAAATTACTTCCGCTACACGTTTAATCTGTATTTTTTTCGATGTCATATTTGGATTCAGCGGATCGTTCAACACACTAAAGACACTTTTTTGAACAAAATGTCGGAATATATGGGGTGTCCTTTATGAAAATCCAATTGAAGCGGAAGTGATTAAATAAACATGTTCTGTCAATAAAATGCGATCTGGTATACTTGCAATAACCCACCAAATTTCAAAAACTGGCCTCGAATGATTTGGAAGTTATAGCATACTGACTGTTTTTTGTCCACTTCTCTGTATATCTGAGAATATATATATTTAATCTATTTTAATTCAATATATGGATTAACATTTTTAACAATTAATGGAGGGCAAAGTGCTCATTCACACATGCAAATTTTGAAATTCCATCCAACTTATCAAACCCCACCTTTTCCAGCATGCATGGTCCTATTCGCCGGCACCACAGACATGGTATGGACCTCCCCGGTCATCCCCAAGCTGAAATCCAACGACTCCGACATCAACCCCCTGGGCCAACCAATCACCGCCTACCAGATCTCGCTCATAGCCGGCCTGCCCGCCCTGACCCTAGTCGTGGGCGGCCTCGCGTTCGCCAAGCTGCCGAACCTCATAGGCAGGAAGCGGGCGATCATGTGCATGGCCGCCGGGATGCTGGCGTCCAATATAGCGGTCGCGTGCGGAGGTCACGTGTATGTGTACTACGTGGGCAGGTCGGCGTTCTCCTTGTTCCGGGGAGCTGCAAGCATAGCCGTCCCGATTTACCTGAGCGAGATATGCGAGGACTGCAACCGGGTGAAGTTCGGGTGTCTGATGGGGCTAGCTAACCCTGCGGGGAATCTGTTCGGGTACCTTGTAGGCCCTGTGACTTCAGTGCGGGTTTTCACGTTGCTGTGTGTGGCTCCTTTGGTGCCGAGCCTACTGTTTTTCTCGACCGTAGTACCAGAGTCGCCTGTTTATTTGGCGAGTGTGAAGGATCGAGTGGGGTCGATCAGGGCACTGGGGAAGTTGAGGAGGTATGAGGAACCCGAGGAGATCGAGAGGGATTACAAGAGGATCGAGGAATCGTTGGAAGCTAGAGCGGGGGTCAAGTCCTCGGGATTTCTGTCGTTGTTTAAGACAAGAGCTGTGCGTAGAGGACTCTTGATTGGGGTGGGGCTCAAGTTGGCGCAAAATTTTGCTGGGGTTGTGGTGATTATGTCGTTCTTGGGACCGATGTTTAACGACGCTGGTACTCGCTTGTCTGGAAATTCTGTGGCTATATTAGTAGGAATTGTTAAAATTATTACTTTCTTGGTGACTTCGTTTACAGTTGAAAAGGTGGGTAGAAGGCCTCTACTACTTTTTTCTTGTATTGGGTCTGGAATACCTTTATTCTTTCTTGGTTTATATTTCTACTGGAAAAATAACAATCAAATGTTCATTGAAGATATCCGCTGGCTACCTATTGTTTGTATACTAGGTTACATCATATTTTTTTCTTTGGGATTGGGTCCAATTCCCATCGCTTTAGTAAGTCAATTATTTCCAAGCGATATAATTTCAGTGGCAATTTCATTTACTATGACGATTATGGCTATTGTGGTATTTTTGCTGACATCTGCATATCCGATTGTGTCCGAAATCTTGGGGGTACATTATTTTATTTGGTTATTCAGTATGTGCTGTTTTGTGAGCTCTGGATTCATATACTTTATGGTTCCTGAAACTAAAGGTAAAAGTATTTTGGAAATTCAGAAATTGCTAGAGAAGAAATAAAACATGCTTACTTAATTTGCATAACTGACTGAAAAGAAAATGACTGAAATTATTGAATGAATCATCATTACTGTCATTTATTCCTTTGTGGATTCAAAGAAATGAAAAGCTGCAGGTTTAATACACAGGGAATTTTTGTAACACCACCAAAAAATATACATCTTGAATTTGATGATTTTTAATCAAATAGACACCCAGCATAAGACTGTGATGATTTTTCTACCTTTCTATATTATGAAAACTGATTTTCACCATTCATCACAGACTTTTTTTTCAGATATGAAATGTCATATATACTGGGTGACCCAGAGAACAGTTGCCGCTCTGTCGAGGTCGTCAACTTTTTTTGTTAAAAAATAAGACAAGCGAAACCCAATCAACTCTCGTTATTTTTTAATGAGACGCCCTGAATATGTACATCACGTAAATGTCAATTGTCACTTTTACACCATATACAGGGTGTCCGCTAAAAGGAGGACAATCCATTAACCATATATTCCTTGAACAAAACCAATATGAGTTTCTAAATACCATTTTTCATTTTAGCCCTTCATATTCGATATACAGGGTGTCAAAGTTGGAAATCAAAAACAGTTTTTTTCTAAATACTCGCGTATTTAATAAGATATTAATCTCAAAATTGGTACATCACTCCAGCACAAAGAGTTCAATCGTGTGAAGATACAAAACAGAAAATAACTGTCAAATATTCAAAATACTGGGGGTCAAGTACACACTTACCTCCATTTTTTTTTGTACGTGCGCTAATGACCTCCTATTTATTTTTCTTCAAGTGTTCAATCATTTTTGAGTATTTTTTGTTTCTTGTAAAATTTCGATAAAATTATTCATTTTCAAGATAATTCGAAAAGTACTGGTTATTGTTTGATGCCTATGTGGCTTACGGTTATCTCATAATGTTCACATACTCCTATTTATTTCGTCGATATTGGAAATACCGGGTGAGCAGAGCGAATGTATAAAAATAATTTTTACAAAAAATAAAAATGTAAGGACATGTCGAATAAAATTTTTTTGCCAATCGAACGGCGTAAAATTTTTATTACGCGGTCAAAGAACAAAGAACAAAGAACAAATAGAAAAAAAAAACGTTGTTTGGAATTTCGGGTGAATAATGATTTTGGGAGGATGGGGGGGGTCGATTGACGAGTCCACCCTTTTAAAGAATTATTAAATTGATTTCTTTCGAGAACAGCAAAATTTTCAAAATTCTTTAAAAATCGGTTTGAGCGGTTTTGGGGGGTGCCGAATTTTTCAAAATTTTTTCCGAGAAACCCCCCCCCCCCCCGTACGGTATGTCGGGCGCGAACGAACGGAAAATGAAATCGAAAAAATAAAAAAAATATATTTTCGGAAATTTTGTGTAAGACTTTCTTTAATTAAAAGGGCTCGCATGTGTATTCAAAAAATTGGAGGTCATATCGAACAATTCATTTAGACGTGTTAAATTTCTATAAATTTGTTTTTTCGAATTATCTTAAAAACAAATAATTTTATGGAAATTTCACAAGAGACAAAAAATACTCAAAAATGATTGAACACTTGAAGAAAAATAGATAGGAAGTCATTAGCGCACGTTCAAAAAAAAATATGAGGGTAAGTGTATACTTGACCCCCAGTATTTTGAATATCTGACAGTTATTTTCTGTTTCCTTCACACGATGTAACTCTTTGTGCTGAAGTGAAGTACCAATTTAGAAACTCATATTGCTTTTGTTCAAGGAATATATGGTTAATGGATTGACCTCCTTTTAGCGGACACCCTGTATATATACAGTGTGTCGATCTCTATATTAATGATCGCGTAGTGACCATCGAAATATTTTATCGATTTGCCGCTTTCCACTTATGGAGATCGAACTCAAGGGCGGATCCAGGGGTGATCATGGGGGGCCATCATCATCATCGATATTATCGATAAACCGATAATTTCTGAATTTCTTCATCCGAATTTTCATCGATATTATCGATTTGTCGATACATCGATAAGTTTGCCCACCCCTATAGTTTCATTTGCCCTAAACATTCTCATATAGTTAGTACCTAGTTCTCAAATATAAATTATACATGAAAAATCATATTGATGATCCACCTATATGCATATATCCTTTTGATGTTTCTATGCTAATCACTTGGAAATCTTGGAATATGGTTAAAAATTACTCCCCAGTTTTCACTAAAAGAAATGAACATGTAAACAATAAAAATTAGAAAATTCTTACAATAACAACCTACCTGCCAGCACAAGAAAGAATGACCACATCATAATTTTTCTTATCTTGTGCTTCCAATAATCATGTTTTATTAGGTACCTATCCAATTTCATTCTCGATGAACATGCTTTGCTTATTGTTATTGAATAATCCATTTTGTTACTTGGAAAATAAATATCAAAGAAAGAATTCCAAGTTCAACACATAATGATAGTTTCTTATCAGGGCGCAGGTGTAAAACGTCATTTAATTTTAAATTACTACAAAAAGCTCTGTCATTTCCACACAATGTTCATAAAACGAAAAACCATGATATATTTCGGGAGAAAAACAACTATACTTTCCTGGCTAATATGCGACGCAGAACATTGAATTACATCCTCCCGAAATCTATGCATCGACTCGTATAAGCGGATACTGAAACAAATGATTCTTTCCTGAATGCCTATTGATTTCGATTTAGCCAGGCCACGCTAGACACCTACAGACCAGTTTCGAGCTCTTTGACTCTTATCAGTGCAGGGCAGTATCCAGCCAGCAGTCCTAAGACCACCGACTAAGCGTAGCCTAGCCAAACAAAAATCAAGTCGGCATTATATTTCCTATCAGAGGCGCCCTCCATAGACAATATGAAAGAAACGCCATTTGAGTAGGAAAGAAGGAAAAAAAAAAAGAGTCCAAAACTGAAAGTCCCATACGTGAGTGGCTGGTTGCCCGACTGGCGTAATTTCAACTACGAAATAGCCACAATAATGCTCAAATTGGAATGAAATGTTAAATAAATACAAAAAGCTCAGAGTCATTGGCACACAATGTTCATACTCAGATGGCGTGGCTTTCATATTGTCTATGGAGGACGCCTCTGAGGGAATATAATTCCGACTTGATTTTTGTTTTTCTAGGCTACGCTTAGTCGGCGGTCTTATATAGGACTGCTAGCTGAAGACTGCTCTGCACTGATGAGAGTCAAAGAGCTCGAAACCGGTATGTAGTTGTCTAGCGTGGTCTGGCTAAATCAAAATCAATAGGCATTCATGAAAGAATCACTTTTATCAGTATCCGTTCATACGAGTCGATGCATAGATTCCGGCAGGATGTAATTCAATGTTCTGGGTGGCATTAGCCAGGAAAGAACTTGTTTTTCTCTCGAAATCTACCATTGTTTTTCATTTTATGAATATTGTGAGGAATAAATGACTTTGAGCTTTTTGTAGTTGTTCAACATTTCATTCCACTTTGAGCATTGTGGCTATTTCATATTCATTTAATTTTGTTGAAAATTGTTCTTCCACCCCAGAAAGCCTAAAAAAGTTGATGGGATATATCACATGTCATTTACATAATTTTGACCACAATTCCATACATCTACCATCTACGATCTACCATAACTCGATCCTTGATACAGGCCAGCAGAATAAGGAAAAACTGATAATGTACCTGTTATAGTAGGATATAAGTATCTTCATGGACCTGTAATCTGTATCACTATCACTATCACATAAATATCATGTATTGTATTGATTCCATTAAAAATAGATTAATTTTATAAATATTTGTTTTGCTTTCACTTCTCGCATTCAAGGTCATCAAATCAGCCATGAAACAATCGAACATCGAAGCAAGAAGTGACGACAGTAGTAGAATGCCATAGAAGTCATAGAACATGAAACAAATTCATATGACGTCAGATACCTGAAGTCTGAATGGCACGACCAGGCTTCCATAGCGACCGGCACTATTTTTATTTTCAAGTTCTGGTTCCCACGAAAAGGGATATCGTGTAATGTTCAGAGAACATCGTGAGAACCAACAGCTACTACGATCATTTATTTACAGGGTGTCCCATTGGGAAACGGAACAACTTCAACGGTTGGTAGAGCTCATCAAGGTGGTTCTGAATATACCATATTTGTAGGGTTTCACAAGTTTTATATCCGAGATATAGGGTGTTTTATCAATTTTGCCCAATTCTTTGTGAGGACATAACTTACGAACCACTCAGTATATTCTTTTGCAATTTGGTACACAATTCCTTCTTTTTCTACCAAAGCGACTCACCTATCAGTCACGAAAAAAATCCAGGTCCAGATTAACAGAAGTTGATAATATTTCTGGACACCAAAAAGAACACCCTGTATTTTCGAATTCACAAAATCTGCTTACATATTTGGAAAGTGCACAAAAAGCTGAACCGAATGGTATACTAGTCTCTTCGATTTTGAATTCGAGGTTTTATGCATTTGAATAGGTAAAAATAATATGTTTTGAGTTTTCCCAATCGAATAACAACAATTATCAAGAAACCACTTAGTATATTCTTTTGGACTTTGGTACACGAGTTCTCCTTATTCTACCCAAGCGCCTCACCTATCAGTCACGAAAAAAATCCAGGTCCGGATTAACAAAAGTTGATAATAATTCTGGACCCCAAAAAGGACACCCTTTCTTTTCGAATTCTCAAAATCCGCTTACACATTTGGAAAGTGCACAAAAAGCTGAACCGAATGGTGTACTTTTCATTTTCCCACATGCAATTTCACAAAGGAATTCCTGATTTTGAATTCGAGGTTTTATGCATTTGAATAGGTAAAAATAATATGTTTTGAGTTTTCCCAATCGAATAATATTATCACGAACCACCCAGTATATTTTTTTGGAATTTGGTACACGAGTTCTCCTTGATCTACCCAAGCCCCTCACCTATCATTCACGAGAAAAATCCAGGTCTGAATTAACGAAAATTGATTATATTTCTGGGCCTCAAAA